CATATGTCTTCATGAGAAATAAAAAGTGGTAAGAAATTTCAAATCATCTAGAGCTACACTGTTCAAATATGGTAGCCTCTAGCACATGTGACTATTACAAGTATTTGAAATATAGCTAGTTCGAATTGAAATATGCTGTGTTAAGATATGTGCTGGATCTTGAAGATCTAGTATGAAACAAACAAACAAAAAAGGAATGTGAACTATCTTACTAGCTTTTTCATATTGGTCACATGTTTAATTACTATTTGGGATATACTGGATTAAATAACATATGTTGTTAAAACTAAATTAACCTGTCTCTTTTTACTACTTTAAAAGAGACTATTAGAAAATGAAAAAGGATCTATGTGGTTCATAGTATTATTTCCACTTGACAGCTCTGTGGTAAAACATAGGAGATTCTTTAACATCAAATTATGAACCACCAAGTCCTTACCAAGAGCTGTGAAAAAAAAATTTAAAAATACACAATTCAACTTGGCTAATAATTAACGTGGGCCTATGTACAACATATATATCAGGCATATAAACTGTAGTTTAGATTCTAGCAGATAAAAAGAGATATGACTACAACGAATTGGAAAATAAGTTATGGTATAAATGAGTCTTACGAGAATACAGAGGCAAAGTAATAACACCATAGGAGAGCAAGGCATTTGTAAAGACTTGTAAAGGAGGCATCTTTTCAGGTGAACATTAAAAAATTTATGGGATTTTGAGAGGTCATGATAACATGTAGCACTTTAGAGGTGATAAATATGTTTGTCATACATTAACCCCATTTGGTGAAAAAGGAAAAAATTCCCCTTTTCAGTAGATAATGTCAGTAGATAGAGTAACATACATGTGGTAAAAATGAAAATGCAGGCTCAGGCCAAGCAATGAAGAGTTTTGAATGCCCCGCTGGAGAATTTGGTCTTTTCTACAGATAGAAGAAATCATCAGAAATATTTCTTACCAAGTGTCAACAGGATTAGAAACGCATAATAGGAAGACTACTAAGGCATGGAAAGGAATTGTCTGGGAAGACAGCAGATGAAGGCTGAGGGAGAAGATGGGAGTAGCATTAATTTTAAGGAATGGGAATAAAAGTCAAGGTATGAGAACACAAAAAAGTACAAGGATAATAGCAGAAAGGGAGGCATTGATGTAGCAAGGGATAATCAAAGAAGTTAGTCTAGGAGGAGACAAACGATGATCTGAAATCAGGCAATGGTAGGTACTTCAGGAAACAGCAGGTTTGCAGGCAGAGGTGGAGCCAGTGATAAGGAAGATTGAAAGTACAAGACAGGGAGAGGAGGTGCTGCAGAGTTCAGGTAACCATAACATAATCATAAAAGGGAAGGCAGGAAACAAGGGATGGAAGAAGGCACGAGAGATGTTGAGGAAGAGGGGAAAATTCATTAACTTATTCCACAAACACATACTGGGCCCCCACCAAATGCCAGGTGCTATATTGCAGAAATTGACAGTGGATGACTGTGCAGGGGTCACCTGCAGAGCAGGAGGGAGGGTTACACTGGGAACCAAGGAGAATGGAGTTGGCTTGGATCAGCTGCTATGGGGAAGATGATAGGTCGTCTTACAGGGATAATTAGGAGCATCTAGTAACATTAAAATCCCAGCTGATGTTACAGCATGAATAAGAAATGGAATTAACTGGTAAGGTTACGTGACTTGATACCTTAGAAATCCACAGAAGCAAGTAAAGGAAGAATTTAATTTTTTCCTAGATATGGAGAATTGACAAAATGTTAAGAAAATGTGAAGGGTACTAGCAAGTCCAGGATATCTAATAGAATAGGAAAGAATGGTTATCCATTGGTTCCATCCCGGTTAGAAAGACTAGGGGTTGGGTGAAGGATTATGAACTTAAACCCTGAACTGGGGAAGTATTTATGAGGGAAGATCATGATCAGAGAGAAATGGCAAAGCTATAAACCCTATGCGTGCAACATTTCTAAGGGACAACAAGAGTCTAAGAGATGGCTGTGTTGCAGGTAGCTGAAATGGGATACAGATGAAGATAACTAGGAAGGAGCTGGCTAATATTTCAACCAGATACCAGCTTAGACGATGATATCACTGAACACAGTAATAGGTAGGGTGGTCACATGACTCAGTTTGCCTGGGTCCTTCAGTTTATGACTCTGGTCCTAGTGTTTTCGGGTTTGGATAATAAATTGTATGTTTGCCCTAGCATAAGGTGATACAATAAATTAAAAGAAAACAAAAATCCATCTCCTGCAATTTGGTGATTATAACAATGACAGAGAGGAGTGGTATAATCAGAGAGATGAATGTCAAGGAAGGTATTGACTATCAGTAATAAATAAACAAGGCACTCAAGGCCAGCACCAGAGAAGGGATGTAGGAAAAGAAAGGGCTACTGATGAACAGGTGTCCTAAGACACAATGTTGGTAATGCTTTCAACTGAGTAAGTTGGAAGGAGTGCAAGAGAAAAATATCAAGACACGTTGTAATGTGTTCACAATAAAATGGGGGTATTACAAGACACATAAAATGTGTTAAATGGGAAAGATGGCCTTGCAAAGGCCTGTCACTCAGGATAAAGCAAAAATAGCTATTTTTAATTTCAAAAGTCCCATGTATATGAATGGCAGGTCACCAACATTGATACAAGACTACAAGTATATATCTAGCTCCACAGTTTTTAATACCAGCCCCGGAGCTTTCTTGGTTTACTGGACATTATGCACATTGTTTACCAAGTACAGTCAACTCAGCAATGGGAAGTTATCAAATCCAAGACCCAACAGCCTATGAACAGAGAAAATGGCTGTCCAACTTAAAATCTCCCTTTTTAGTACCAGATTGGCAACGTGTGGTCAGAGTCCTGGTGCCAAGAATTTTTTTCAGCAAGTCGTTCTGAAACTTTCAAATATAGAAATGACTGAGGAAGAATAAAGAGAAGCCACACACACACACACTCACACACACAAAACCACAATGAAAATTAGGCAATTCTACTCTTAGACAAAGCAGCAATTAAACCCAAACCGAGGGAGATTCCACATCTGGCACGTGGAATACAGGTGTGGGAACCAGCCATGGTTCAGAACCCCACTAATTAATTCCGTAGAAAAAAGCTCTAAAGCTTTCCCATCAGCAAATCCTGCATCACTGATGTTTCCTGCCCTGGGGGGAGGGTTTATACCATTTAATTTTCAACTTTTACAAGCATACACAAATATTAGCAAACACACGGGTTGCCTTTTTGCTTATTTCTCTCCCTCATCCTTTGAAATTAGTTTGTTTGTTAAGCTTTATGTCCAGCTACACTGCATACGATTTCTTTTTAAACCTGGTTAAGGTGGAACACAAACGAGCACAGCTAACAAAAGGAGAGCCCTGATAAAATTAGGCCATAGTCACTAAAAAGAAGGTTAGTTTTCTTAACTGATAAGGCAGCTATGGCTCTCGAGTGCACATAAATTCTTATTGATTTGTAAAATTAATTTTAAATTTTTACAAAATACGTTGCAGACTCATGCAGAAAATCCATACCTCAAAGTTAGGAAACTTTATATTAATGAGTCTCGTAACTCCTATTTAATGTTCTAATTGGAAATCTGTAACATTCGGGAACATCTGAGAGAATACTGAAGGAAGAGAAATGATACAATCATCACCTTCTGGGGGATGATAGAGTGTGAAATCGATGACTGAACCAGATGGCATTTCTAACCTAAGAAATATAGATGTTTGTTTTCAATTAAGAATGGGAATCAGATGAGTTACAGGATTAAGATCCTGAAGAAAAAGAGAAGAAAATAGGTTTCTTAACAATTATGAAATCAAAGACAGTTAAAAAAACATTAACAAACACTTATGAATGTCTCTGACTTCAGTCATGAAGGAAAAGAAGATGATAAAAGGCAAAAACAAACAAACAAACAAACAAATCCTACACATACAAAACAAAAACCCCAAACCAAACCTTTCTTAACAAAAATTCCCATTGAGATTGTCAATCCCTTAGACTGACAATCTAAGACAGTGTTTAAGAATATTTCTCACTTCTAACTGGGAGCTACATAATGTGTACACATGGACATAGAGACTGGAATAATAGACACTGGGGCCAGAAGGGTGGGAGGGTGGGAAAGGATGAGGGATTAGGAATTACTCAGTGGGTACAATGCACACTATCCGAGTGATAGTTACACTAAAAGCCCAAACTTCGCCACATGCAATATATCCATATAACAAAACTGCACTTGGACCCCCTAAATCTATAAACAAAAAAAATTTTTTGGCCAGGTGCACTGGCTCACACCTGTAATCCTAACACTCTGGGAGGATGAGGCGGGTGGCTTGCTCCAGGTCAGGAGTTTGAAACCAGTGTGAGCAAGAGTGAGACCCCGTCTCTACTATAAATAGAAAGAAATAATTGGCCAACTAATATATATAGAAAAAATTAGCCAGGCATGGTGGCGCATGCCTGTAGTCCCAGCTACTCAGGAGGCTGAGGCAGAAGGATTGCTTGAGCCCAGCAGTTTGAGGTTGCTGTGAGCTAGGCTGACACCACGGCACTCACTCTAGCCTGGGCAACAAAGCGAGACTCTGTCTCAAAAAAAAAACAAAAAAAAAACAAATAAACAAAAAAAAAATTTTTTTTTTTTAATTCTATACATTTAAGATCAAAACAGAATGCCATATCATTCACTTCAGATTTCAACTCCCTGTTAGAGCTACCGGTAATCTACTGTAATTATCACTGGGATTTTGATCCCAACTTTTAAGATTAAAATAAAATACTTAAAACTTTAGCTCAGTGGTGGTTGATCAATTATATTAATTAAATGGTATGTCATAATCATAACAAGACTTTAGGGTTAGATGCTTTTCCTTAACAGCAAACTCTGATGGAAGTAGGCAGAGATCAACAGAAAGATAAATTTATGGAAGAATACAGAAACTATATGCAAGATGTCTCAGCATCTATGCAACCCCAATACAAAAGCCACCTTACCTCCCATCTGCATAGTCTGTGTCTGCTCCGCCCCACCAGACATCAGAGTCATCCTCCTCTGCATCAGCAGAATCGATATTGTCACTTTCCTCGGCCAGCGGGCAACACACAAATTCTACCCCTCGGAACTTGTCGATTCCACAGGGCAGCAACATGCCATAGTCATGCAAGTTGGTACTCTTCTCACTGCATGTCTAAAAAGAGTAAGGAGAAAACAGTGAGCGTGGTATCCCAAATATAACAATCAAGACACCGACTCAATACTTTAGGAACCAGTTTTATAGAGAAAACAACCATGTGCTTTTTGGGTGAATTTACAGTGGGGCTTCTTTAGCACAGGTTACTTGGGTACTTTTTTTTTTAATTTTATCATTTAGTTAATAAGAACACAATGTTATACAATAGAGGTTTATAAAAATAATGGGAATAGAAACCAATTGGGAAATGGGATGTAGAAGGAGCCTGCACTGGGGAATAGATACCAGAGAACCACTGCTTTCTGGCTTTATTGGCATATCAGGAAATTATAAGGGTTCTGGGTACATCCTGACTCACTCCCACCTCCATCACAGATGGAAGTTCTTCTCACTTAGACCTGCCTTATTCTAGAAATTCTAACTCTCTTGGTTCACTTCCAGGGTAACAATCGTGGGAAGAGAAGAAATTACCCTCTGGGCAGCCACTATGAATCAGAACTTGTAGTCATTAGAGATTTCTCCTTCAACATCGTTTTGCTTTCCTGGAATTTGCTAAATTTGCACAAATCTAGATGAACATTAAAATTCTGAAAGCATCCACTGGAGACAAAGGAAATATTAATAATTCAACACATATAGGTAAACAATGAAACTATTACGAAATGTATTTTGACCTTACAGGAGTCATTTTTGTTTCTTAGTAACAACAAAGAATTTTTCTTCTGAAAACTCAGAAGAAATGAAAAATGAGGTTATTAGAAGCGTAGCTGGGCTCCAAATGATTTGGTTTGTTTTCTTAAGCTCAGCAAGCTCTTAAACTTCTACAACATATTTTTACATAAAGAAATTTTTATTTTACAGTGAATCAGAACATATTACTTTATAAAAGGCAAAAATAATGGCATTTTCTGTCTAACAGCTTTAAGGCTATGAGAGAATGATTAAGTTGAGTCAGCTTACAGTTCTCAACTTCAGTACTATGATGCTTTGGACTGATAATTCCTGCTAGAGGGGAAGTGGGGTGATATTCTGTTCACTGTAACATGTTCAGCAGAATCCTTGGCCTAATACCAACTCCCCTAGCTGTGAGAACCAAAAATGTCTCCAGACATATTCCTGCAGAGGGATTAAGGGTACAAAATTGACCCCAGTGGAGAACTACTGACTAGATAAAAGAATCTAATTCTAGTAGACTGATCTCATCACAACCAACCTATACAAATTTATTAGAAAACCATAATATGTCAAAAGGACAAAGCAGTTTTGAAGGTGGTCATACCACAAGGTGACATTTTCATGCTAGCTGTCACTTGTCTTCTATTGGCTTAGGCAAAAGCAGAAGTTAGCAAAGAGCTAGGTACAGATTTACCCACTGTGGGAAATTAAAGGTGGTAAATACAAAATTGGCATAACTGAGAAATAGAATTCTAACCATAGCTTTCAGGTGGTTATTTCCCTGGTCTAACACTGTATTCAGCAAGCGGTAAGAAGGGAAAAGGTACATAATAAAAAGTTCGTATATGACAAATGAAAACAATAGGTGAATGAAAAATAATTTGAAAGGTAAATCTTAAAGTCATAGCTATTAAAAATTATAGTTTTATTTTAAGTTATAAAACATGGTACACACACATAATGAATCTAATTCAACTGGTCCTGTTTTTAACTACTTAAAAGTATTCATAGACAGGGGAGGCTGTGCCTGTAGGGGTCATGGGGTATATGGAAATGCTCTGTACATTCTCTTCAATTTCGTTGTGAATATAAAATTGCTCTAAAAAAATAAAATCTACTAAAAAAAGTTATGAATAGTAGTGATTTTTTATTTTTATTTTTTTCACATTCACATAATTTTTATTACAATGTATTACTATAATCGTTCTATCAGTTACTGTTAATGTTTTATTGTGTCTAATTTATAAATTAAACTTTATCACAGGTGTATATAGGAAAAAACATAGTTTATGTAGGATTCAATACTTTTGTGGTTTCAGGCACCCCATGGGCGTCTTGGAATGACAAGGGGAGACTACTGTACTTTGCAGTAGTGATTTTTTTAAAAAACATATTTATCAACATAGCTGTTATTTCAAAATACCCTCTAAAATGTCATTAGGTGTGGCCCCAGGAAATCTTCACTATGCAGGAAGAAGGGAGTTACGGGCTGGTACCTCTTTGGCGACGGTGTGCCAGTGGAGATGGGTTTCGCACACATCCATCCTCTCCTGGTGTAAGAATTTGCACTTGTCAGGAACGAGAAGGGCATCGCTGACAAACTCACCAACTGAAAGAAAGGAAAACCACTTCTTGTCATTCTGTCTCTTAGCTGGACTTCAGAGAAGTTACACAGCTTTTTGACACCCGAGCAATCCAATCAAGACTCTAGAACCTTTTAGAATGTTGAATCTGAATCTGACCTCCAGTTACTCAGTCAGTTCCTTGTCACATAGACCTTCATGGTTAAAATATTTCCTACATGTTTTAAGTGAAATCTTTCTTTAATTTATCTGAATTTCTTAATTCCAAATTAATCCTATATAAGCTGGTTAACTAGAGAATCAATTACCATTCAATTACAACAGGGAGGTAAAGCACAAAGATTGACATTGTCTATGTAACCATCTGAGTAGACAATATAAATCATCGCCTACTCCTCTTTCTTAGACATTTTAATCTGCTTGTAAACTAATACACATTTTAGCATCTTTCTATTTCCTAAGCAAAAAAACTATACATGCGTGTGTGTATTATATATATTTAGAGAATACATGCACAAGAGACAGCTTAATTCAATTAAATTATGAAAATTACTCCACAGACTTTTGTTGTACTTTGAAAGAAAATGTATATCATGCAAATTATTTCTAGGTATTTCTGGTACAGAAGACATAAAGATATTATATAAAGTCCTACAATAATCACTGGAAAGATTAAATGCCTGGCCCACAGCTACTAAATCAGTTCATGATAAAATCAGGAGCAGGTATCAGATATTCTCAACTTTGGCCTGAAAGAGTTCTCAAGGCATAAAGTGGACAATAAATGCCACACAACAAAACGAAATACATCTTGTTTTATTTGCTCTTAGTCAATCTGCTGAGGACTAGACTATAATGCAAAGCCAAAGTCACAGAAAGATATTTACTTTGGTAAAATCTAATGTTCATCAAAGGGACTTATACTGCATTAATCATATTATAACATTTATTATGTTTATATAAGGTTACTGAATTTTTTAATTGGCAAAACATTTCATTTAATATTGCAAAGATGATCTTAAATTTCTAGTATTGCATATAGCTAAGAAATAATGTTCCCCAAAATGAGACTGTTTTTTAAAGGATTAATATTGGTTATTTAAGAAACCATCAGGACTAATGGCAAAACAGAAAACTCACTGTACTCTAACATTAAAATAAAATATAGCAATATATAGCATTGCTTATATTACTTTCAAAATTGATGAAACATAATAGAATATTATATTTCTGAAAATTTAAGCAACTAAAATACAAAAATATGTTAAAAATTTTTAATATCCATTAAAGAAGAGTAGTAAATATATAATGAACCTTTCTTTATAAACTGGCTTGGCATGGTTTCTTTTCATTTTCATTCTAAAAAATTCTATTTAAAAATCAATGCTAGGACAGGGAGTATGTGGGAATCTATGTACTTTCTGTTGAATTGTGCTATGAACTTAAACTGTTCTAAAAAAAATACATTTACTACTTTTTAAAAAATACAATAGTATATACCTGGAGTTTCCACAAAGAACCATGTATGCTTTTATTTTTCAAATAAACCTATTGTTTCTTTGGTTTAATTTTTCATGTAAAAAAGAAAATTCTTAATAGAATTCAAATGTTAGAGACAAAAGGCCAAAATATATTAAGTATCATAAGAGAAATCATGTTCCTGTTTACACCAAACTTTAGGAAATTTGGTACCATTTATTCTGAGTAGATAAATTCAGCAATATATATTACGCATGTTTACTGATAACCATGTATGATGACCATACAATTCGGTTCCTTGTTTAAACAATTCACAATTTATATTAAAAACACACACACAAAATCCTAACTGAAGGGGAGTTTTCAAAGCTAATGAACAAAATCTAGGTTTGGCTTCTTGGCTATAAGGTCTTGGCAAGGTGAATAAGGATGGCAAATTCAGTAAGGACTCTCCAAACCTCAATCCACTAGCTCTTTGGTGGTCTTTGAGAAACTGTACAGCTCAAATTACCTCACTTAGCAGATGGTAGGAAAAGAGCCCAGGTCAAGTGGCTTGTCCACAGAGCCAACTGGCAGGAGAACTGGTCTGAAAATCCAGGTCTCTGGGCTCTCCATCCAAGAGTGGTAACTAAATTCACTCATTTAAACTCTGGGCAAAATGGTCTAATTTGGCCAATTTCCTTTGGCTTTTACAAAAAAAGATTCACTCTTAGATTGTGAAATACTTTAATGCTACAATCTACAAAGTGGTCAATTTCACAATAAAACCAGACCTAAATTAACCAGCAAGCCATATAAAGCAGTTCAGCTATACAGGATAGAACACATGTTGAGCAGCGGCTTAAACACACTATGTAATTATGCATCTCACATTAAGAAGTGATATCGTGGCTAAGGCCACTGCAGATGTTCCATGATGCCATCAGGGACCAGACTATTCCTACCATTCTGTACTGCCATCCATAAGATGTTGGCTTTTATCCCCATGTTTTGTGGTTGCAAATTGGCCCCCAAAATTTAAGGCTTTGTGTCCAAGTTCCAGGCAGAAAGCAGGAGGAACAAGCCAAGGATTGAAGGGTTTCTGTTTATCTTTTCTCTTTTCTCCTAATGAAGATTTGCTATGTTACTTGGAAGGGACACACTCCCCAGAGATTCCCACAAATACTGTATATGCCATTACTATGTTCTCTGGCCACATTTACCTGCAAGAGAATCTGTGAAAGTACTTTCAGCCAAGCACACTGTCACCCTGAACAAAAAAGTATGGACTTCTCTTAGGAAAAACTGGGAATGAATATTAAACAGACAAGTAGCACTGTGGAATTCAGAGATAGCAATATATTTTTCAATTTCTTTATGTTGCCTTTGCAAAAGACAGACATGGCCAGGCATGGTGACTGACGCCTAGAATCCTAGCACTGTGGGAGGTGCCCAAGGCAGGAGGATAGCTTGAGGCCAGGAGTTTGAGACTAGCTTGGGCAACAAGGCCAGACCTCATCTCTACAGAAGAATTTAAAAATTAGCCAGATGTGGTGGTCTTAGCTACCCAAGATGCTGAGACAGGAGGATTACTTGAACCAGGGAGTTTAAGGTTACAGAGTAAGCTACAATGAGGCCACTGCACTCCAGCCTATCTGCCAGGCTCTAAAACAAAACAAAACAAAACCAGCACAAAAGAACTGAAAGTATAAAGTGCTACAACTAAAACCAAGGGAGCCCCCAATCCATGGCACAGGGATAAATGAGAAGGGGAAGGGTGTCTCAAAACTGAGACTGCCAAAGGACACAGTGGGACATGCCAGTAGTCCCTGCTATTCAGGAGGCTGAGGCTGGAGAATTGCTTGAGCCCAGGAGTTTGACGCAAGCCTGAGCAACATAGCAAGATCCCATCTCTTTAAAAATGAAAAACAAACACATACTGAGACTGCTCAAGTTCTGAAGAGTTACACTGGGACTGAAAAGATTGATTTAAGAGTTCATGGTCTTTGAGAATCACGGGAATAAAGGGCCAAAAATGTCTGAAGTCTTTGGATTTATGCCCAAGTTGTATCCTCCCTTCCTTGTTTCTTGACGTAAAAATGATTCAGGAAAAGGGTGGGGGTGGGAGGAAGGAGGGTGGAATGTTCCAGCAATAAAATTACTAAAAAAGGGCAAATCCTCCATTTCCTTGTGCTATGGGCCCAGACCAGCTTGGCTTGTGAAAGTAAAATGTAGGTACTTTCAGTAACTCTGAATTCTGTGCCTGACACTGCCCTAAATATTAATACTTCATGTGCATCTTCTCATCTTCCTCAGAACCATCCACGAAGGCAGCTCCAATTATCCCACTTGGTAAGAGAAGGTGGTGAGAATGAGAGGATATATCAAATGGCACAGCTTGGAGAATTAAATGAGTAAATAAATATCCATAAAGCACCCAGAAGAGAGGTGCTCAATAAGTTATACTGATCATATATATATTGATTATATTGATATATACTGATATTGAATATATTGATTATATATAACTCAATAAGTTATATGATCCTTTTCCTCAGTATTTTATCAACCACCACTGTTTCTCATATGAATAATAATCACAGTAATAAAAAGAGCGACAGCTATTCTTCACCATTTATTGATCACCTATCTTGCCCCTGCTGAAGGCAATGGGGTTTTATTTTCATTACATTATCACGACCCAGTTGTGGCCCCACAGATGAGATGGTGTTGTTTTACATCTGAGTACTGCTTATGATATGAGGAATAAATAACAGCGGTCAACACAGTGGCACAGAGTCCTACTGTAAGATCCTGGGCTATAAGGACAATAGACACCTTCCAGCTTCTGTTTACTGCTTGTTTGCTAACCGCAAGGCATTATGAGTATATTATGGGATGCAGAGGAAAAAGACAAAGAGAGCAAAAACCTGAGTCTCTCAGCTAGGACCCGGAACAGGTTAGGGCCTATTAGGGGCAGGCTAAAGTGAAAATCACTGTGGGGGTGGATGCATGACCAGTGTGTAAACAACTAAGTTATAAAAGGGGATAAACACACAAAGGAGGGTCCTTGCCTGCGAGAGTGGCCACTGCGTTGGTGCTCTGGGGCTTGGATCCTGGCTAGCCAGAAAATAAACCTCCTCTTGTGTGATTGCATCCTCAATGTCTCTGCTTTTCTGTCCGGTGGGGCTGTGGAAGGTCGGTCCCTAACACTACAATTATAGAATCAGAAAGATCGACCCTCTCAACTTCTGACTGAGTGCTGGTCCTGGCTGTGGGGGAGGGAGCTCCCTGAAGCCCCCTCCGGCAGCCACAGACCTTTGTCCGCTAACTCTTCACTGAGTACTTCCTACTCTTCCTTAGTGCAGAGAATACAGTAGGGAACACAGGAGGTGGAACTAAGATTCTAGTGGCAAACAATAAAGAAAACAGATAAAATAGAGTATCTAGTAGATGCTAATAAATCTTATGGAGAGAAAGGGGATAGGAGCCATGCACGGTGGCTCACGCCTGTAATCCTAGCACTCTGGGAGGCTGAGGCTGGAGGATCACTCAAGGTCAGCAGTTC